AAGAGAGAGAGAGAGAGAGAGAGAGAGAGAGAGAGAGATAGAGAGGGAGGGAGGGAGAGAGAGAGACAGAGTGTGTGTTGTCAAAGGTGTGTGTGTGTGTGTGTGTTGTGTACATGTAAGTGCAGTGCTTGAGGAAGCCAGAAGGGGGCATTGGATCCCCTGCAGCTGGAATTATAAACAATTGTGAGCCTTTTGACATGGATGCTGGGAACTGAATTGGGTTCCTCTAGAAGTAAACACTCTTAATTCCTGAGCCATCTCTACCTGCATATAGGCTCAATTTAAATTATACTGAACTGTCTCGGGAGTCCATTAAAAAGAGAATTTAGCCCAGCTGACCTTTAATCCCAGTACTCAGGAGGCAGAGACAGGAGGAACTCTTGAGTTTGAGGCTAGCCTGGTCTACATAGTGAATGCCAGCACAGCCAGGACTACCTAGACACTGTTTTAAAAATTCAAAACTAAGAGAATTTAAGGCCTGCAAGATGGGTGGGCAGGTAACCGTACTTGCCACTCAAGCCAAGTGATCGGAGTTCAGTCCAAGTGAGGTGGAAAGAGAGCCAACTCCACAAAAGTGCTGACTTCACCAGGTGCCGGTGTAGCGGTGTAGCATGCCACGTGTGTACTTTTCCCTAATATGCACTGGCACACTAGTGTGTGGGTACATCCCCCCCCCCCACACAGAGCACTTTAAAAGGAAAATGTGGAGAGTCCTGACCTGAATCTAAGTGGGAATCTTTGGTTGTGTAGGAAAGGCAAGGCTGGGGTTGTGACAGGCATGCTGGGGCTGCCAGTTTAAGGGATGAGAGGGCTGGATTGGGAACTGCTATAATACTAGGTATCCGAATGTTGCTGTGAGAGGACAGTGTTGGGGATTATTTCTCCTCTGTAGTCCCTGAATCAAATCTAGGATGTCAGGCTTGGTGGTTAGTGCTTCATAGGCTGAACAATCTTGACAGCATCATCCTTAAATCGTGTGTGTGTGTGTGTGTGTGTGTGTGTGTGTGTGTGTGTGTGTGTTGTGCTTATTGTGCAGGGGTCAGAGGGCAACTTGCAGAAGCCTGTGCTCTTCTACCGTGTGCATCCAGGGGAGGACACTGGGAAGGCAGGCTTGGCAGCAAGTACATTTACCCACTGAGGTTTGCCCTTCCTTTTTTATTGTCAGTGCAAATGACATTCCCACAACAAAGACCGATGGCTTCCAATATTATTTTAAATCTATTTTGGGCTCAGAGAACCTCTGAAAGGACCTTAAGATCCCATGCACTCCCCTGGGCACAGACTTGGGGAACCACAGGTGTAATGTGTGCTGACGGTGGTGCAACTGTTTTCCTCCTAGCTACTCTGAGCACACAGCTTCCTTAAATTTTAAGTGGCATCCAGATTCCTCACTCTGAAAAGCACCTTGTTAGGAACCCTGAGTAAGACACTTAACTGTCTTCTCTCAGAAAGTTGCTGGGAACTGGGAAAAGAGAAGGAAAAACAGCTGTAAAACTTTATTATTACATTCACTTAAGGAGTTACAACTTAAAATTCCATAAACAGAACTGTTAAAGGTAACATGGCCTCCACCATGGGAACTGAACCTAGGGCCTCAGGCTCTTCCTATGCTACATTGGAGACAGGGTCTTTTTACTTATACAAAACTCCCAAATTTACCATGCAGTCTACAGAGTCCTAAGACTTAATGCCACCTTCCTGCCTCTGCCTCCTAATTGCTTTGATTACCACGTTTGGCTTTATCTTTTAATGATTGCCATTTTTGCTTCCTTATTTCTTATTTACAGATGTAAAGCCTTGAATCACTGTAGCATATAATATACATTTACTTCCTTTTCTTTTTCTTAAGCTAAAAATGTCTTTATCCTCCTTAGCCTTGTCTTGGGTGTTGTAACACTGTTTATCTTATTTGGAGGGATCTTCCCCCCCCACCCCTGCAAGGTCTGTCAGGACAGTGTGCCCATGAAGCTTGCCTACCTTGCAAGCCAGTCTTTCCTTTCTGTTTCAGAATAGACTTCATCCTTCTCAGAAGTCCTTAGGGCCACTGTCACCTCGATCTGATTTATTTCCCAGTCCCCATTTGGGGGCAAAGATCAAAATCCTCCGGTTGAAGATGATTTTCATAAAAACAGCTGAATCCCGCCTGGGTCATCAGTGGCAAGAGTCCACACGTGTGTGCCTGTCTGGGCGCCAAGAGTTAACTTTTGCAAATGCTGCCTCGGGAACTCCAGGGTTCGCTGGCTGCCGCTGCGCCGTAAAGAAAATAACAAAACCTTTAAGAGTCTCTTTGTCTAGAAATCTTCTGTATTCTGGTGCCTCAACCAAACTTTGCCGGGGACTCTCCCGCGCTACTTCGCACCTGTCCCCTCACGCCGGCGGGCAGTCGGCCTCGG